CCTCGTGGTTACACAGGCTGGTGTGCTTCTTCCATGTGGGCTTTGATGCTTCTGAGCTAGATGGCTGCTTGTTTACCTGCAAGCCTTTAAGACCCCAGACACTGTATCTTTTGATAGCTGGGCACCATCAGCTTTCTTCACCACATTTGCTTATGCACCCATTTGTCTTCAGCAATAAGGCTGTCAATCTTTACGGGAGCAAAAAACCTCATCCTTCTCTTGTCCAGTGGCTGATAGGTTCAAACTGTTGACCAACTTGTAACCCACTGTGCCTCCAGGGCTCTTACAGCCTGCACAGTTGTGCTGCCCTCTTTCGGGCTACTAGGAATAAGCTGCTGCTGCAGACCTTCTTTTGTAAGGCATGTATGGCTAGACCAGTGTCCGAGAGTGGGAAGATGAAGTCAGAGGGTAGATGTGCCTGTCACTCTAACCATGCCACACCGTTTTAAAGTAGCTGTACCACTTTAGATTCCCTCCAGGAGAGTATGAGTTCTGGTTGCTCTACATCCTTGCTGACATTTGCTGGTGTCGTCGCTGGTCAGGTATGGTGTTACCTCGGGGTTTGAACTTGCGTTTCTGTGATACCTAAGGATGCTGAGCCTTTTCTCTTGTGCTTATTAGCTATTTGTCAGCTTTTTATGAAGAGTCTATTTGAGATTCTAGGCTATTTTTAAAAATTGATTTATCTTTTTCTAAGCTGAGGAATTACTTATTCTGGTTACAAGTCCTGTGTCATATATATGCATTTTGAATATTTTTCCTTAGGCTGTGACTTGGCAATTTATTTTCTTAATGGTGCCTTTGATAAGCATACGTTTTAAATTTCGATGAAGTCTAATTTATCTGTTCTTTTTTTCCCTTTTCTTTTGATTAGTGATTTTTGTGTTCTTTCTTAATATTTGCCTGCATCAGGGTCATGAGACTATGCTGTTTTCATCTAGAAGCTTTATAGTTGTAGAGTTTATATTTAAGTGTACGATCTACAGGACATTATTATGTATGCTGATGTAGGGGTTGGGGTCTTTTTTATTTATTTAAATGGATGTCCAGTTCTAGCACCATTTGTTGAAAAGCTCTTTCTTTTGCTATTTAATTGATTTGCCAACCTTGTTGAAAATTCCTTGACCCTGTATGTGTGGGTCTGTTCCTGGGCTCACTATTCTGTTCCACGGAGCTTTGCTCTATCCTTTGCCTATTCACCTGATTACCTAAAAGAGAGAGAGAGAGAGAGAGAGAGAGAGAGAGAGAGAGAGCTCTGAGGTCAGGTAGCATATGTTTTCCAGCATGATGATTCTTTTTCAAGATTGTTTGGACTCGGCTAGGTGTTTTGTATTTCCATATGAATTTTAGATTTAGCTTCTCAGTTTCTACCAAGAGCCTGCTCAAGTTTTAATGGATTACATTGAATTTATAGATCAATGTGGGGAGAATTGGTACTTTAACAAAATTGAATCTTCCAATTCATGAACAAGAAATATCGATGCATTTCTTTCTTT